ATGCTCTTTCTAACGATGTATCACATGATGGGGGTTGCCATTTGAAATTTTTGAGTTGCCCCCCGCCCCCCCTCCCCCTGGGGGGTCGAAGAACTGAAAAGTACCTCAAAAAGTTTCCCCCTCGATATGAGGAAGGACGCCAAAAACCGCAAATCGATATCATAATTAGAACTAAAGTTATGGCCAGTGGTGCGTAACTTTTGAATAACCCTGTATACCTATCTTATGTGTATGCGCGGTTCTGTTCCTTACATTGTTTTCAGATTGTGCAAAATATTCGGATTTTCGGACTTGTAAAATTTTCAGGATCAATACACCATATCCTCCAGCATGGGCCTGGTATCGGAGACTGGTGAGTAGGGTCTGATTCGGGAAATTAAAAAATTTTCGGAAAATTACCCTCCTCCGATCCGTCCCGGATACACTATGGAAGATCGGAAAACTGTACAGACCGAATTTTGATACGACTTTTAGTTTTCGAGAAAATCCAACTTTCACCTAAGTCGCATGCGTATCTTATATGTATATACGAGCTTTTTTATGCTTGTTTGAATAAATGGATTCTTGAGTTTTACTATTCACCGGTTGTATGTCTGATGTCATAAACACGTCTATGACACATACCTATCTTATGTGTATACGCGGTTTTCTTCGTGGCCTTCGTAGACTGCGGTCCTCGCTCCGTCCAGAGTTCAAAATTCATCGTGAAATAGTTGTGTGTTCATGGATCGCACAACGATGTGACGACTGGCTCTTAGTTTCTACGGATCAAGGGTATCAGAAAAAACTTAAAATTTCATTGCGGGCAGCCCCCCTCGCGAACGGTTTCTTAACGATGCTTAGCACGATTTCATTTCACTTAACTTTTTAGTTTCGACAAATCGAAATATCAATAAGGATTCTATTTTGAAATTAAAAGAAAAGACGTCCATAATAATGGAATTGGTATGTAACATTTGAGTTGAATAAAAAACGAAACTCAAGGTAAAAACCTATACCGTCAATCGGGGCTATTTGGGAAATTTTTTGCAGTTTTTTAGAATTTTTAACTAGAAATCTCCCACTAATTTCAAAACAATAGGACATTTTGGAAAGTTCTGACCCCAAAGCATAAGAAATTATGGTTGACTTATTTTACCTCCCCTTTTTTTTGGGGGGGGGGGTAAAAAATTTTGAAAGATGTTTCCCAAATTGCCCCTTGATGGGGGTAATTTGGGAAATAGCACTAAAGCCATATGTTATGAGCTGGTATCAAATAACCTCATACAGGGGGCTATTTGGGAAGGTAAACCAAATTTTTAAAAAATGTATTTGGATACAAAAACTGAAAAATTTCATGAAAATATTTAATTTTTTTTTATAAAGTAACACAGGGTATTGACAAAATTTAAAATCCCTCAAGAAAATGTACATTAAGTTCCCGAAAATATATTCGAATATCTAAAATGAATAAACAAATGAATGATAAGATTCTGTAGACGCATTTAGTGTGACATCACATCTCGATTTAATTTCGATATCTCGAAAGTCGAAACGTGCCCCAACAAACGAACATATAGGAATCTGCGGAATTTAGGCAGGGGGGGTAGGGGGATTCGCTTTATGACTGTCACTGATATTACGAGCTTATTATTATGCAATCAATTCTTGTGATTGTGATCTCGAACGTTTTTGTAAATGGCTAGCTTTCATAATTGTAAAGTCCCATGGAGCAATTTTTTATACTAGCAATACTAGCACTCATGAAAACATCGGATTCGATATTTGGCGACGTAGAGGTACTCTCTAAACCATGCAAATAGCGCCACCATACGCGAATAGTTTTATGAGACAGTTGGATTGCACAGCATTGCCAACAATTATTTTTATCCGCTAATTCCCAAATAGCCCCGATTGACGGTACACAGATCACAACTTAGTTGTAAATTTATGTGCAGTATCATCTTCGATGAATACAATTTTTTTAAACTTGACATGTAACGATAACAACAAATTATCTATTCTATAAAATATATTTTTTCATAAACGATAGAATCAAAGACACAGTTTCTTTAACAAATATCGAATTCGCCTAATTTTTTTAGAATTGGTCTACACAACATCTGTACTTCCTTTTTTTTAATATTGAGTAAACTATACCTTTTTTTGTTTTTGTACAGACATGCACATTGTTACTATGTGGATATGCAGAGGTAATTGAACATTTTCCTAAAAGCGGACAGTGTCCCATTATTTCAAATTGGCTCAGAAAGGTACAAAAGGACGAAAGCGGTAACGAATACATTACAGATGTGGAGGACCCACTGCTACTAAATGTCGCAGGAGTAAGTGTGTCTTTAATCGCATAGTTAGTATTTTATTTAAAAATTGCATGTAACATGTTTTCCGCAAAAAAAAGCAATACTAAAATGACCATTATCATAACAGAGATGCGATACATACATCAAATTGATATGAGTGCTTGCTGAACTTATCTCTTGGATTTTGAATGGAATATGTGAATCGCGCTCAAGAAAGAAAAAAGAATTACTTTCTCCGCAGGAAATGGCTAATTTGATTATAGGCATGGTTTATTTTGCCCGAATAAGTCGTCGTCTTAAATGTAAGCACTCGCTTATACCATGTCTAATAGTCGGGCAATTGATAATTGGACGTATTTCTACGAAACAGACCTACGTGGCGGTGAGAAATATGGGGTGTGCTCGTCGAAGCTACATAAGAAGCAATGTAAAAGTGGGCGTGATTCCTTTTGTAGAATTGGAAAAGCGGGATATTGCATTCTATCAAACAGACCTATGTGCCAACTGAATGCGGCAGTCAAGAGCCGCGGGCATGGCAAGAGAGCCTTGTGGACAGGGCTCTTGAGTTAAGGATTCCCTCCAACGATGTCCCCGTTGTGCCGGCGCTCGTTCGTTGTAAGAGAACTAACGAGCACGCCCCATATTTCTCACTTCCACATAGGTCTGTTTCGTAGAACTACGTCCAATTAAAAATCGAAAGTTACTTTTAAATATTCTTTTTTTCCCCCAATAATCAAAGTATCAATACATTAGAAAATGAATTTGAAATATGGGCTCTAAAACAGGCTCAAAATGACATAAAATCTGACTTTACGTTCCCCATTCAAATTTTTTTGCAGCTCAAGCAATTGACTCCGAAAACTTAGTGTCTCATGAAAAGACTCATGAAAAGAACCCGATAAACTCATTCGCTTAGTTGGTGCAATACGTTCCTCATTAGGATTTGAAAAAAAATATAGAGTGAAAGTTTTCCATAAAATATATAATCTAGAAGAAGATATACATTCTAACTGACTTTTTTCTTTTTTCAGGATTTTGGTGTCGACCCGGGTTTATTACTGATAAGGAAAATTTGTTCAATCGAATACATATGCATGTAGAAAGGCATGGGCTGCATACAAAGTATACTTACTTCGGAGCTAGAAGAGCCGAGTTTCCTCCTCATGAAGAGGATAGGGGAGCATACTCGGTCAATTTCCTCGTCGCAGGAGCAATTAAATCGTGGTAAGTGTTTACAACCGAAACGGCACTTTTAACCTGAAAAGTTTCATTCAGTTATTCAATTAGATTCAGCTGAAAACGAGATTCTCAAAAACTAGTCGAAGAATTAAAGTTTTATTTGGTTCCGGGAAAAATGCGATGGAAATTTTTTTGACTAAATTATTCTCACACTAAAAGTATCGAACTATAACCCTTTTTAAGCATAATACTGGTTCTCCTAGTGGGAGCGATGGATGGACAACGAAGACTTCTCGCATTTAATATAAGTCTTAGAAATTTATTTCGCCTCCACTTCCTCGATTTATAAGAATTCGCTTCCTCTTAAGAAATATCTCTCTTTTTTAGGATGGCTCCAGCTGTAAAGTCAAATTTACTATTCCACAACATTGTGAGAGAGGCGAACCCCGTCGAAGCAGTATGCCCTAATTATCTTGCGCACAAACGGGTAATCATCCCGATAAAATATTTACTTCAGATGGAAATCCCAATATGTGGTAAGTTGTTTTGATTTCCTCTCCTTTACTCATTTTTCCCCCATTTGCCGATGTACAAGGATTCTAAACTATATTAAAAACTTCCATTTTCAAAAAATAATAAAATCGCCTCATTAAAGTAGGTGTTCATAAAAAATGGGTCGACGTCGTGTTAGATATTCATAAATATTGAAATAAAGTTGGCGCTCTTATTCGGAAATCAATTTTCTTCTTGGATCCATTGCGTAAAGAGATCTATTGGACGTATTTCTACCAAACAGACCTATGTGAAGGTGAGAAATATGGGGCGTGCTCGTTAGTTCTCTTTGCGTAAGAGTGAATGAGAATAATTGTGCGCCAGTGACGTCAGCGGCAACGAACGAGCGCCGGCACAACGGGGAGATCGTTGGAGGGAGTCCGTAACTCATGAGCCCTGTCCACAACGCTCTCTTGCCATGCCCGCGGCTCATATATCGACGGTGAAACTACCAAACCACGTATCTCGGTTTGCGACGTCGCAGACTTCCTGTCATACTTTATTTTTTAAATGAATAACTACTGAACGTCAAGTCTTGAAAATTTCTGTGATTTTTCCTCTTCGTGCGAAGAAAATTCTGTGAAAATTTCAAGGAATGATATTGATTTGGTCTACTTTAAAAAAATAAAATGTGAGCGTAGATTTTTAAACACCGCAACCGAGATACGTGGTTTGGTGGTTTCACCGTCGATATTCCGCACTCAATTGGCACATAGGTCACTTTGATAGAATGTAAAATCCTGCTTTTCCAATTCTTCAAAAGGAATCACGCCCTCTTTTACATTGCTTCTTATGCAGCTCTCTAGAGCACACCCCATATTCCTCACCTCCACATCGGTCTGTTTGGTAAAAATACGTCCTATTATGCCTTTAACAAGAGGTATATTTTTTTTGAGTCGGATCACGTCATACGCAATTGGAACTTGGACTCAAATATCAGCAAGATAGGAAAGCTCTTTGTGATGGAAATCAAGATGACGTCCGCTCATCTTCTTTAAAAGCAAGTTAAGTGGGAGAACATCCTAATCCATTACACTGTTAGAAATTTTGGAGTTAAATCAGCTCTTTTCCTGTTGAATCCCGTGGTCGTAATATATCATCGGAAACCCCCGGAGTTCAGTGCGGCCAGGGTTAAAAGTAAAATACTTAAGTGAACTCCGGTCCCCAGTGACTTCCCGTTCTGAACTCCCATTTAAGCTAGTTAAATCAGCTCCTTATCGTCACTCCTCGCGCGTTCATTCAACTCCTCCAAGCGTTACTAACTACAATCCAGAGTTAACTGAATTCCGACTCGTCTTCAACCCCGAGTTTTAACTACCAACAACGACTCCAATATTTCTAAAAGTGTATGATGATGATGATGATATTGTATGTATGATAATCAAAATATCATTAGACGATGCATTTTGTACTAAATCAATGTATGATGACTCTAATCTAAAGTGTAATAAATTGTCATTCATGGTATTATATGATAGATCAATTAAGAAATTAAAACCATTATGCATGTTCCCTCGTAAAAGAAAAATCTGACATTCGTTTTATGCAAGACGTTCTTTGCATCTATTTTATTTTAATTATTTTTCTAAAGAGAAAGTTATTATTCGTTTGCAGGCACATCAAGAGGCTGGGGACTATATAGTTACGTTGTCGAAAGGAATTCACGGGGGGATCAATCATGGGAACAACTGGGCGGAAGCAGTAAATTTTGTAGATGAGTCTTGGGGCCACCATGAACGCTCGGAGATGCGCTGCCTTGACTCATGCGAGTAAATGTTTTTTATTTGTATACTTTTAAATAACAATCTCATTAAAAGGAAAACAAAATTTGCGTGCTTACTTTTTTCATAAAAATACATATATTTTGAATAAAAAGGGATTGATTAGTATCTCTTCTTTCATTTATTTATTAAACTAAAAATAACAAGATGGTTTGGAGCATAATGAAGTTTAGATCAACCCATTTCAATTTTAAATTCGTATTAATACTCAAAGCTAATATTCTTAGTTTAGTGTCACTCAATTGCAGTGCCTATCAACTCCTAAAAAGACTGATGCAACTTGGCGAGCTCTCGAGTTGTGTGTTCCAACAACTCTTTTAACTCACTAAAAAGAATTCATTTCTAATGAAATTTTTGATAGGTATTGCAGCGAGTAGCAATTATAAATACGATCCTTCATACGTATAATATTTTTTATTAATTCGATGAAGTCACCATACTTTTAACATAATATGTTCTTTTTCTGTACTTAGAGCTGGTTTTGATTGGGAAGAACGGGTACATAAAAAATTATTGGCGTGCGCCAGAGGAAGATGCTCAGCACGTTTGAAAATTAACCCAACTTCAGAGCCAACCCCACACCCAGCACCTGAGCCTGTGGCAACAACAAGTAGTCAGGAAACTCTACCTAAAAACCAGAGAGAATGTTGGATTTGTAAAATGCCAGCCATCAGGGGAACGAAGCGTCTGCCATTGTGTCAGCCTCATTACATGAAGAAGATAAACGAAGAAATTAAGAACAGAGTAATTATTTGCGTTTATTTATAATTTAATTAGAAAATGAGTCACAAAATAAATCATCACGTTGACTTCCTTCATCTCTGAAAGGGTAAAGGGGGAGAGATGTCCATAACGTAGCCGTTAGCGTCAAAATATTTGCCTATTTCGCTTAATTTGTGTTGCATAGAGATTAAGAAATTAACTCTTAATATAAAATACCTTCCATCAATACTCATATATGTGTGTAAAACTGCAATTTACAAATTTCGCCTCGTATTTTTTGTTATCAGTCGTCGTAGGGAGAAGGGGGTAAAACTTCATCGATATGACCGTTCTCATCAACGCCGTTTAATTGGCGATTTTTCCCTGTTTGCTCGGGCCGTCCATATAGATATGGGCTATGTGGACCTTTTTCTTGTGCGAAAATGGGACGTTGCGTTCGTAAAAAAATGTGTGACCCAGTTCTGTGTGTTGGGGGAGTAAGCTCCCCAATCCGTCGTTGGCCATTTTGGCCAACGCCTCATAGGGTTCCGGGAGGTCACCCTGTGCTCTTATTACAAGCCCGGCCTAGACCCGGACGTCGATGTCCCTTCGGGGGCTCTTGTGTTTTTACAAGTTGACTTGTTCTCTACCATTGAGGTCTTCGGTGGCAGTATAACCCTCAACGGGTTCTGTTATCATTTACATGAGGGGTCCTGGCCTGACGGATGCTATTCCCTCTATGAGTACCTGCGTCGTCCATTTGTTGAAACCGAAAGAGGTTCGTTTAATTTTCGTAGTTTTGCCTTTTTTTTCATAAGAAAACCTATTTTCTCCTTGTCTCTCTCTCTTTTCTTTTTTTTTTCGAAACTAAGGGTTTTTTTTCGATAGAGTTTAGTTTTGTTGTCTAATTTTAAGAGTTTTAAGAAATAAAAATAAGAAAAGGAAAGAAACCGAATTTTTTTCAATGTTCCACTCCCTATTCTACCTTAAAGGAAATTCCAAATTTGAACTTTGTTTCCTATTTAAGAGACAACTTTATTTACAAAAAAAATTATTTTTAGGTTTTGCCGAATTCCAAAATCGGCTCTCTTGGTTCATAAAGAGTTTTTCTCGAATAGTATAAAGCCAGACTCAATTAACACCACAGAAAAAAAAACTATTCTAACACTTATTTTAATAATTGATTCCTTTTTACTTCTGTCGAGCCATGGTTGGCTTGATTTTTAAAGAACGACCAAAAAAAAGAAAGAAATCTAGTCCTTCATCTGAACTCTAAAGTATATATTATTCTCTAATTCAAAGTATATATATTATTTTATAATTCAAGGTATATAATACATATTATGCTCTAATTAAATTCCTTACTTCTAAAAAGTATTGAAGAGAGAAAGAAAATTATCAACAATTCTACTTCACCGACAAGTGCAGTCTTGTCGTTACATTACTTATCCGAATATTTCGCGGCTTCGGCCGAGATTTGCGATTTCTTGGGTATTTAGCTGATTTCCAAGGAAGCATTGCTATTTGTGACATTTTTCATTTGTGCCATTCCGCGTACCCGAGCCTTGGATTTCTTACCGTCCTACTGTTATGTACATTATTCCTAGTAAGTATAAATCATGTTATATTTCTACGCTTAACGATAATTTTCTTATGTCTACCTGTACATTGGTGTTGGACCGCGAAGGATCCTATTTTCGCATTCGGCAACTGCGCGTGGCTTCTCTTCGAATGGGTTTTTAGCTGAGGTCCGCAAGGTCGCTGTTGTTCCCTTGTGGTGGAGGCTTCTGCCCCATCACCCCTCTACGGTCTTTGACGCTCGGATTTGTCAAATCTCCGCCATAAATAAAAGATTTAATTCGTCAACTTTTCGCTAAACTCTGTAACCGCGCGTTAAATTCTCCGCTGAGATCACTGATCGCTTGACTCTCCGCAGAAACCATTCACCTTGCGTTCAAGTCTCTGTTAAAATCTTTAACCTTGCGTTAAAGTCTCCAAACCTTGCGTTAAAGTCTCCGTAAATCTCTAACCTTGCGTTAAAGTCTCTTTTAAAATCTGTAACCTTGCGTTAAAGTCTCCGTACGCGAAAAAAAAAATTTCTCTCTACAACTTGCCTAAACTTTTAACCATATTTCTGGCGACGCTCCTCTGAGCTTTTCCACCAACGAGTCCTTCCCTTGGTGCACTTAGAATTTCTCGATGACGGGCCTTCCGTAAGGTTTTGTTCTAGACGAACTTCACATGAATTCTTTGTGTCCCGGCCGGGAACTTTTCAAAACACAAAACTGGGAATTCTTCGGGCCCCAAGAAACCCTTCGCTAACTTCTCAAAACGGAACTTCACAAGAAACTTCACAAAACTGGGAATTAATAGGCCCCACGAAACCTTTTTATAACTTCTCACAACAAAACTTCACAAGGAAATTACACACAAAAAAAACTTCGCAAGAGACTTTATCAACGATTTCGCAAGGAAATTTTTTGGAACTCCTTTTATACCATTTGATTCCTATTTGATATCCATATGACACCTATTTGATATCTATTTGGTACCTATATGACAATTGATATTCGTTTGATATTCATTTTATATGCATTTGATACCCATTTGATACACATTTGATACACGTTTGATATCCATTTGATACTCAGATACACATTTGATACACGTTTGATATCCATTTGATACCCATTTGATAACCATTTTATTAATTGTGTTGCTGTTAGTCGCAGTGCGCCTGCTCTTGGCGTCTGTGACTTCATATTACTTTACAGGACTTAATTGGTTATGAATTCCTATATTATTCCTAAAAATTATTATTTTCGCTTACTGCTCCACTAATTATCTATCAGCTTCCGAAATGGTAGCAATGGCCTTATTACGTTTTTACATTTAATACACATTGTATTTACATTTAATATGTACTCAATTTACATCTATTTTTCAACATGTTTGTTCAGTCTTGACGTTCGCAAAACGGTTTCAAGCGGTCTGCGTGCACGTTCTGTGACTTCCGCCCTTTCTTTATCTCAAAGTTTACAGGACCGGTGCGATTGATGATTTTATAGGGTCCAACATACTGACTATCGAGTTTCTTAGATCTTCCTCGTTTGACCGTGGGGTCATGAAGTAAGACTAAATCTCCTATTTTAAACTTTGGAAAGCCTTTTGTCTCGTTGGCTTTTTCTACTCGCTTTATTTTCTTTTTCAAAACATTGCTCCGAGCAAGTTACCAAGTCGTCCTCATGCGCGTTTTCATTTCCTGAATGTAATCCTCCTCAGCGTAATGCAAAGTTGGGGGCTGCATCATTGTGCGCGGCATCTCGAATGACCTGTCGAACATCAGTTCGAACGGAGAATAATTGGAACTGGTGTTTGGCAATATGTTCAAGCAAGCTCTCGCTAATGGGAGCCACTCATCCCAGTCGGATTTGTAATGGGCAATGGGGGAAAATCTGGGAAATATGGTAGATCAAATGTAATGTGTAGAAAAAAATATGAACAGCGGCGAAAAAAGTAAAAAAAAAAAACTCAGGAAAATACAAAAAAAAAGTGGCGAAATCAGGGAACTCAGAAAAAAAATATATCAAGATCAAAAAAGAGCAGAATAAAAATCGACAGTCAGAGCAAGTCTCCAAAAAAAAAGAAATCTGTCTCCTAGGAGAGTCGCGGCGAGAGTCCCGTGGCCTCCTCTTTCGGGGAGGCCCCGGACTCCTATCGTCCTCCCTTTTGCCATTTTCGCCGGACAACCCCCAAAGTTGGTCATTGGTTGTCCTAGGCCGGGGAGAGGGATGCAGCGGCACGGCGTTGCAACCTGGGGAACGCTGTGGTCGTAGACCAGGCGGGTTGGCCCCTGGTCGAGCGGCTGATTTGGGGCCCCCGCAAAGGCGCGGTTTTTGACTGGTCAGTTTGGGCTGACCAGTGTGGGCCCCGTAGCTCGAAAGAGCCTAAAAGCCTCTCTGGGCCCCCCCCCCGTGGTTTTGGAAGCGAGGATGCACGGTGCAGCGGGACAGTGATAACGGCCCATAAAAAAACTCGGGCGGCTATGAGAAGAATTTGGGGTGGTTTGGCCGATGGGCGAGTGACCACCTGTCTTTCTTTCTCATGTCCGGTCATGCTGCGGGCATCCTCGCCGCCCTTGGTATGTGCTTTCCCGTGTTGCAAACGCCATATCATTACATTCCTCAGCACGGCAGAGCATATTCAACGACGGACGCGGAGGTCTCCGGGTGCGTAATCTGCGCTGAGAATCGGGCAGTAATATCGTCGCTCCTCTGGCGTAAGGGCGTACCTCGATTTCCTCATGAGCCACAGAAAACATGGATTTATAAGTGAAACAGGGCTCACACGTACATTGAGATACGCTCTTACGTCAGAGGAGCGACGATACGCGGCACTACGCTTTACGGGCTATTCATAACTGCCATGCAGAGGCGTGGCGTGAATTGCGATATATCGATTGTTATGCCATTTAACCTATGGTAAAGAATCGATTATTAAGGTGTTCGCTGCGAACACCCTATTTATCGATCCTTTTCCATAGGTTTAAATGGCATAACAATCGATGTATCGTAATTCACGCCACGCTACTGCAGTGCCGTGCCACCAGGACCCGGATCGGGGTCAGTGGCGCCTCTCGAAATTCGACAACACTGTTCTCCCTCCATTCAAACGTATGCAAAGCAATCGATCCTGGGCGAGTTAACTAGGATCGATATTTTTCGTGGATTTAAATGGGGCTCGACCAGCGTTGCCAACTGGCGAGCAACGTCACTGATCGAGGTCAAGATTAGTGTGTTGCCGCTGCCGCGCGTAATCCGGGGGCCCGGCCCCGTTGGGCCACTCTCA